CATTTTTCCACTTAACTTTTTCAGTGGGCAAAGGGAGGAGGGGGTAAAAGCACCAAGGCCGGGAGCAGAGCCAGTGCCRGTAGGTCCCAGCCAGAGCTTTGGCTGGAAGAAGAGCAGGAAACGCTCAAGCAGCAGCTCACTAGTTTGTATTAAAGACACTTAAAGAAAATAACGGTGCTAATTCTGTCAAAAGCAGCCAATCTGTTATTGTTATTTCAGCACTGTGTCGCAGCGATCCCTGTGTCGAGCACCGGCGAGCAGGGACAGCGACTGCAGCCGCGCTCTGTSGGCGGCTCCCATCAGGTGAGTCATCTTTGAACTTTGCTTTTACTTTACGAGCAAATAACTCCTGGAGGAACCGCAGGGTTTGACAGCTGATGCGACGTTATCGGCAGGTAGGGGGAACAAATCCATACCGGGAGCAGCGAGGGAGGATGGGCGCGTTCCGTGGCTGCCTTATCTGGCCGGGCCAGAGCGCTGGCTGTAACGCAGACAGCCGGGCACTAGGGCGAAGGGCTCCTTATCTGCGCCAGCGCGCGCTCACCTCCGAGCTGGGCGTCTTCACGGGCTGCTCCGGTGACCCCCGTTTACTTAATGGGTTGCCTTATCAGACCCTCTATTAACTGCGGCCTGGGATGCTGCCGAGATAACGCGAGCTATTTTTCCTGCAGCGCTGGATTTGCGGCACGGCGCTGCTTGATTTAGAGGGGCAGCTGCCAACCTGCGTGATATGGATGGGTTAATAGCACAGCTAGGCATAAAACCCGAGATGCATCTGTCTGACATGAGCCTGTTTTCTCTCCCTGGGTTTGATCTGGGGCAAATTGTGACCAGGGAGGAAGATGAAAGGCAAGACAGGTAGGAAAGTCAGGCAAGATGGACCAGAAAGGAAGTTCTGCTAAGCACATGTTCAAAACACTGCCTTCCATCATTTTCCCTTTATGTGGCCTCATTTACAGGCAGATTCCACGTAAGAAACACTCTTACAAATCTTCCTTTTTCTTCCTTTTAAAAAAGTAAAATGTGTATTCTTTTCTCTCTTGAAGAGACCTCAGGGCACCCACCTCTCTGCTCTCAAGGATCCTCCCCGCACAACAGTAAACAGTTTAGCTGCCAAAGAGCACGGATRGTGGGAAGGGCCACACCAGAGCAAAGCACACGGGTCTGCTTGGGAAAAGCTGCAGCACCTCCCCAAACTGCTGCGGTTCCTCTCCAAACACAAGCACCTTCCCTTTGTACTTTTAAATTCCCCCCTTCACTGCCCCACTGTCACCTGCTCTGTCACCTGCAGCGGACTTGGCCCAGGGTCTTCCTCAGTGTGCGGGGCTCGAAGGAGGATCCTCCTGCTCCTGGATTGCCCCCTGTCCCGGACGGAGCAGGCGTGGAAACGTGGGGCTCRAGGGGACGGGCAGCCTGATGCTCGTGTTTTGTTGGCGCGTTCTAACGTGAAAGGAGAAGGCGGGAGGAGACAGTGTGGCCTGCCAGAGATGAGCTGGGGGCTCAGGTAAGGATTATCTTGTGAGATAYGAATAAAGAAGCACTTGAGCTGAAAGGGCAATTAAAATTGAAGTTCACAGAGTCAACAAAAACACAGAGCAGTTGAGGTTGGAAGGGACCTCTAGAGATTACCTCCCCTTCTGCTCCAGCAGGGATACCAGAGCACGSGGCACAGGGTGGCATCCAGGYGGGTTTGGGAGATCCCCAGAGAAGGAGRCTCCACAGCCTCCCTGGGCAGCCTGTGCCAGGGCTCTGCCACCCTCACAGTGAAGAAGCTCTTCCTCACAAGGATATGGAACTGCCTGGGTTTCAACTTGTACCAATTACCCCTTGTCCTGTCACTGGCCTCCCCTGAGAGGAGTTTGGCCCTTTCCTCCCTACATTCTCCCCTCAGGTATTTATACATACTGATCAGATCTCCTCGCAGTTTCTTGATCAGATCTTCTCTCCATTACTGCTTTAGGATAGAAACAAAGCACTGAATGTCACCATTCTGGGGTGACCTGCATACCTGCCCCCAGTGGCTGTCTCTCCTGCTCCAGGGAGCTGAAAAATACAAAGACACCTTTGGCCTGTGGGGAAGATGGTTGGCCAGAAAACTTTGAACAGAGCATGTTGTCGTTGTAAGCCTTTGAGTGCAAAATACACATTCTTACCTAGCTGTAAAAGTGAGAAACCATGGAATAAAGTGGAAGAATCCTGCTGCCCAGACAAACCACATTCCGCTCCTGGATTTGGAAATGAATTGATGGAGCAAATGAGTCCAGAAGCCAGATGTCTGCTTTCATCTCTGCGTGGAAACTGGAATAGTGCCCACCACATCRACCCCCAAATACTTCCTTTGAAAGCTCTTTGTTAATCGCTTTCGAGCCAGGCCAGAGASAGCAAATGTGAAAATCTGATGCCATCTAATGGCCGTTTGAGTTTTTACTTTCAGAGGCTGCCTTTGACTTTGGACTCGACTAGAATTCCGATGCTAAGTGAATACCCTTGAATACACATTGCTTCTTACAGACACAGAGAGAAAAAAAAAGGAGCAATTAATTGTAAGGGCACTTGGAAACTCCTCCAAGGAGACGAACCTTCTCTCCTTTTCCTCACAGAATTGCCCTGGGGAGCTCATACCCCTGTTGTAGTGTGTTTACAGGATTAAATATATAGATACTGAATGGGTAATGCCAGAGCTACATTAAACTACATAAATGGAGCGGGGAGCACAAGCAGTTACCGCACGTGCCTTAGTTCTCATCCTTTGGCTTCGTTTTGTGTGTTTGCAAGTTGACTAAAGCTTTCCATGCCGTGTGCTCTTCCAAGGCAGCACTGCTCAGATGTGTTGCCATGCACTGTCTGCAGATACAACATTTAAGGCTGATGCAATTGTACAGTTCCAAAGAACCAAGCTATAGGAAAATAGACAACTTGTTTCATATTACATTTTGGCAATCTTTTAGAGACTTGCTGCRAGCTTGCGAGAGTTACTACACATTTTAGCAAAGGGGTGCATAGCCTTTATCCAAGGGATGAGCTTTTCCCTCTCCTTGTGAAAGTCARTGCGAGTTTGGCTGATTTGCAAGTCCCTGACAATAAGGGTCTGTGTGAGCTCTGCACGAGGCCGATCGCTGRCCAGGCCGTCCCATCCCGCGCCATGTCCATCCACAGCAGCTCTCAGTTCGGCCTTATCCGTGCCCTTATCCTGCCTCCTTACCTCAGCAACGCCATTTCCAGGCATCTCCAGCAAATAAGGCAAAACTGCTCTGCTGCCTGAGCCTCATCCCCCAGGCACTGCAGGAGCCAGTGCAAGCAGCTGGGGCCATCACCTGGTCACATGTTAACTGTACACAGGGGCAAGAGCGGCATGTGAAAATGCATCCCAGTTCCTTAAACCATTCTGACTCARCAGCTGGTGCGTAATTCCTCACGGGACACACTGCTCCTTCTCTTTCTTGGGTTAAGCATTCTGAGAGCAAGAAGGGGCCTGGAACATCTGCCCCATGAGGAACAGCTGAGAGAGGTGGGCCTGTTCAGCCTGAGCAAGAGAGGGCTGAGGGGGGACCTGATSAGTGTCTGGAAATACCTCAAGGGAGGCAGTGAGGAGGATGAGGTGGCCTCTTTTCAGTGGTGGCCACTGATGGAACTAGAGGAAAAGGCCACAAACTGAAGCACCAAAAGTTCCACAGGATCTTAAGGAAAAATCTTTTAACAGTGAGGGTGCCAGAGCCCTGGAACAGGCTGCCCAGAGAGGYTGTGGAGTCTCCTTCTTTGGGGATCTTCCAAACTCACTTGGACGCAGCCTGTGCCACATGCTCTATGTGACCCTGTGTGTGCAGGGGGGTTGGACCCTTCCAACCTTAAGGATTCTATGATTCTATCAATAGTAGTAATTACTGCTTTTGAGCTGTTGTGTCAGTGATCTGTTTTCAGGCTGGATTTTCCAAGGCCTCCTACAAGGCCACGTGTTGAGCCTTAACATCCCTTACGCCTGCGATTAAGATCTACCTTGTTTCCATGCTCAGGCTGTGTAATCTCAGACCCTTGTTGCAGAACTGGAGGAATAAGGTCCAAGTGAAGGTGAAGAGGCTGTTGTGGTTCATGGACCCTTGGAAAAAGGAGAGTTTCCATCAGAATGAAGCTATGGAGGTTGTCAGCCCTGGAGGGTGAGCACCCCAGCGCTTGGTAGGGTATCCACTGTCGTGTCACTGCAGCACTGAGCAGAATGCCGGCGCTCCTGGAGAGCGAAAGAATAAGAAAACAACTAGAAATTAAATTAAGATTTAGTCATCCAAAATGCTGAACCCTCTACACTGGGACAGAGCTCACGACAGAGCTGGGTTTTGACCTCTTTGCAAACAGCAACAAAAGGCTGTTTTGTGGAAGGACAAAGAAAACAAACACTACATTTTCCAAAGCTGACGCAGCTCTAAAAACACAACACTCGAAATTCTGCTGCCTCGGAGGTGCTGACGTTTACCACGTGCTGGCGGGTACAACGTGGAGGTCTCCAAGTAACTCTGAAAGAAAAACTTTACTACAAAGACCTYCATTTTCATCATTTTTTTAGGGCAATTCACCCAAGTTGCCCCCACGCTCTGCACTTGCCCGGCCACCCCAGAGCTGCGGCTGCAGGAATCATCCTTAGACCCCAGCAGCACAGGCACCAGCWGGGCCCAAAACTCCTGCCCCGCAATTCCCTCCTTTTGGCCACACAATTCACCTCTTCCAAGACAGAAAACAACAGTTTTTAGAATATTTTTCTAAATATTTTTAGAAAAAAATGGAGATTTTCTAGAATAAATTTATGAAAAACTCCATCTTTAGCATAAAAACTTTACACCTGATGTTCAGAACCAAAGCATCTCCTTACAAGGAAGAGATGCGAGAGTCCTGTTCAAACAAAAGGCTGCTATACAAAATCCATCTATTTAAAATACTGTTTATTTGTGATTTAACATTAATTAGCATTACATCTATGAGCAATTTCAGATAACATTTATATATTTTCCACAGGACACAGAGTTGGCTGGCTCATTCTTTATGCCAAAGCAAGTAAATAGAGGCATTAGCAAAAGGTGCAAATAGTTCACGGTTGCATTTTAAAAAATATTTATGCACATTGCATTCATTTAGATATATTTTTAAAAAAGTTATGAAAAGCATAGTTCACAGGTTACTGTTTCTACATATGTTGTAATACAACACAAATAATGTAGAACATAAAAAACAAAGAAAGCAACTGAAAGTTTCCACTATGATTAAAAACACTGATTCCAGTATTTAGTGATAGCTAGAAAATTGTTTCCAGGATCCATTCCAACGTTGCATTATCACACTGACACGGTCAAAGCTAACCAGCCCCAAACATGCTATAATCAACATTTTTTTGCATGCCAAACCACTCTCCAGCCATATTTAACAATTTATATATTGTATAATATTTCAACCGGCAATTCGGGAATCACATGGATCTTTTAAATGTATTTCCTATTGCGATGACTGATTTACAGACAAATTTGACACAGCGAAGAAAAACCCTATGTTAATTTCTATGCTYGTTTGTATTTACAATACAGTAAAAGTAGTAAAATGACAATATCAGTAAAAATGAGTAAGGGGCAGTGCCAGCCTTACCCATGGCACTAGGCTCTAATTTGCTTTGGGTTCATCCAAAGGACAACACAGATTCATGAGACCCTTTTAAAAGTAAAATGAAAGTGAAGGAACAAAATAAGTGTTGCACTCCGTATGAATCCACACAAATTATTTAAAACGTCTAATATGGAAATGTAACTTTGCTGATTTAATAAAAATACCCCACATTCCATATCATATATTTAATAAAAAATAATCACCAAACTTTAACTTTCTTTGTTTGCTCCTATTTTCTTACTATTTCACTTTCCCTTTTATCAGTTTTGTTTCCTTCATTTGGTTATGTTACGAGATTATTTTTCTTCATTCATTAGCAATACCGCAAGGAAAAAAAAACAGTAAGTTTTAAACATGAATCCAGTTTAGGTTTTATGCTTTTATCTTTTGATTTCTAAGTCCCTGGATTCCTGAATTATACTTAAGTATACTCTACACCAAGCATTCTTAAATACACTCTACTATTAACTGCTTGGTTCACATGCTTATAATACTTTTATACTGAATGGTATACAAACATTTGAACATATAAAATCTTCTTTTTTTTGTTTTGCCAGTTAAACTAAATTATCAATGTTAAGTGTATAAAATCCCCTTTCTTGAAAAATAAGGGTATTTCTCCCCCCAACTGATAGAATAAAAAAGAAGTCTTCAAAAATTATATTTCACTAAAATGAAATATTTGGCAAAAAAGTTATTGATGAATGGAATTCTTAGACATTTTGTATAATTCCAATAAACTTTCTCTTACACAGTTTCCCCCCTAATATTATGTGCCAGTGTATATTTCTATAAGATCTAATCTTAAAAAGACTTAAAGGTGTGCTGTTAATATGCACCCACTCAAACAGGGCTACAGCAACAAAGTATATGGTCAAAATCACAATATAAAAATGTATGATCTGGTCACCAAATGAGACAGCAGTTTTTTTTAAAAAAAATAAAGTCACGTGGTCACTCGACAGTAACTTTGTTAAAGACTTTAACTGTACTGAAAATTTTAAGGTCTGCAAAATACTGCAAGCAGAACCTGCTGCGATGGTCTCGGCTCTTGCTATGATGGCTTTGGAGCACCTRCCAGTGTGGTTATCTGTGAAACTACTGAGTGTTTCAGACCCTCACAGCAATTCTGAACACGCTGAAGTGAGAGATGAAAGTGTTTGYGATTAACACAGAAACGTTTTATTATTCCTCTTTAAAGCAAAACCTCTTCCAGTTCGTTTTTGTTGCGGTTAAAAGTCCAGTTACTGCACCCCCCGTCCCCCAACACTACTCTGTTAATGGTCAACTGAAACGTTTAAAATGTGCAATGCCTCCTCACGACACAACTGCACTTACGCTTCTACCTTCTCCTTCTTTTTATTCTTTTTCAGAAAAGATGGAGTGCGGAATTTCTTCTTCTTCTTGGATGGCGACTTGGAAGGTGACCCTTCAGGGGACAGGGCCTCCTCGATCTTCTCGGAGCTTTTAATGGTGATCTCCACGCTCTCCACAGTACTGCTCGTGGTCAGCTGGCTCACCCGCTTGCTGAGCTCCTCGTCCACGTCGTGCCCGTCCTCCTTGCCATTGACCACCACGACGGGCATCTCCGCGGGCACCAGGGTGGCGCTCGGCGTGTACAGATCCTCATGGTTTTCTGAGGGAACACAGAGTGTTGCCATTATTCTCACTGAGCAGCAAAGGAGGGCACCGAGACGCGCGCGAGATGCGCGGCGGGCCCGTCTTGCAAAGAGTCAAGCGAGGCCTTTCCAGATCTGCTGCTTCCCTTATCTGCCCTCTTATCTGCCCTTCCCTTATCTGCCCCACGAACGCTGTGGGGACGTCGCTAAGGGGCCAGGGGCTGATAAAGGTGGCCTCATCCTGCCCAGGTCCATATGTGGCTGTACAGCCTCACGTGACTCTGGACTGTATTTTAYTGCACGAGAATTAGCTCATGAGAGCACAGCCATCACACACCGAAACCTYCAATACCAACCTCTAAAAGTTGGTCCACGTTAGCTGTTTCTGGCAAATTCTTAGCCTAATCACAGCACTTTATTTAAAGGCAATACGTAACATCCATTTCTCCCACSTCATCAATACCTACATTCCAGGACTTCTATTTTCCATTGGTGAGAATTCCACACGAGGGAAAATTGAGAAAAGAGCAATTAAGGTTCCTGGACAGGCTCCCACCTGCATTCTGGTAAAACTGGGTTCTTTTTTTATTTTTATTCAGCTGTCTTCAAGTAAACGTAAAGAATGCAACAAAGAATGACTCAGGCTACACCACTGGCATTTTACAGAAATTACATGGAATACCTTCTAATTTTTCTGGGACATTTTGCGGGGACTGAGTTTGTGACTGAATTTGTGACACAGATGAACCGTCATCTGAGAATAATTCCTGTTCAGCATCTGCAGGACGAGATTCGAGTTAGTAGCCATGCAAAAGTAGAAGTAAGGCAAGAATGTCAGTAATAGTGCTACAAGATTTACAGCTCTGCTAGCGTTGTACTCTTCATGCTGCTAACGTCAAGAAGTCCCAACATGCAGCTTAAACTCTGGAGACTGTGAAATTACAAATTTCATCCATTAACAGTCCCTACGGATTAGTGGTTTCACGGAAGGAGGGGTTGATGAATTCCAGGGAGCCCCACGGTTTTACCTAGCCACAAGCCACAGTTTGCTGTTGTAGGAAATTATTACAGCGTGCCCTGAAGGAGATACACAGAAAAGTTGTTTTATTACACAATATTAGTGAAGAAGAGTGCATAATAAGTGCAGTTGTTAAAAAACAAACACAAACAGAATTAATCATTCCCTATGCAATAGCAGTATTGGAAAAAATATCAGAAAAAAAGAGGTCATAGCAAAAGCAGTTGAACATTGGGAGAATAATGGAGAAGCTACTGAAATGCTCCGTCTGCTTCTTCAAGAACTTTGGAAATAAGCAAATTCAAGGCTTATTAAAATGTAAAATATCACAGAGTATTTCATGGCCCTTATGAGAGGTTAACAGCCGTTTCTTGTGAATTCTGATATCTGAGCATTTATTAGAAGAACCAAAGACTTCTTCTCTTGCCACGTATTTCCTAAATAAGTGACAGAGAGGAGTTTTCAGGGGGTCACTATTTGTATCTCATTGACTTTTCCTCAGGAAACTTTCACGGAGCGGGTGGGTAAGCCCTGGAGCAGGTTACCTGCTCAAGGGCCGGGGGCCTCTAAGGCTGTTCAGTGCTCAAGGGACAGGGTCCCGAGAGACCCGGCCAACTCTGAAATTATCTTGGAGCAGGACAYTGGCCTAAAGGACCTTCACACTCTTCCAAGCCAAGTTATTCTATGACTCTAGCACGAAAACTCATTATGCTGAAATGTTCTGTGCAAAACTTGCCTTGTTTTTATTTCAGCATTAAGCAAAACAAATAAAACAAACCAAAAAATACCCCCAAGCACTTATCAAATAAAATTCTACATATAGTTTTACAGTATTTTCAAACTASAAAGGAGCTGCTGGTTGTTGAACTGTAAAGCCCAGCACCTAAATGCGCCACTGACCTTCCAGCCCCAGCTGCTTGCGCTCGATTGTTTTCTTGTACTCCTCCAGTTCCCTCTCCGTGAGATGGCTGAAGGGGTTGGGGGGTGCTGGGGGCGCGTGCTCGTCCTCTTCAAACTGCATGGGCTGCAAAAGAGAAATACACACATTTCACTAGCTATTTACTTTTTTAAAAAGAAAGAAACAACATATACTTGGTTAATGTCCCTTTTTTTCTGGCCTCCAGTTTGGAGACAGCAAACCTGCAGAGAAGGAATATGAAAAGAACCACCCACCCACACACACACACACACACACAACTCCAGGCTAAAACTGACCCGAATAATGGACATTTGCTTCGTAATGAACAGTGACCCCTGCCATGGGAATCACCACTGAATTACATCGGCACAATCTCTGCTCAAGTATTCTTCTACTACAAGGGACAGCTTCAAAGGACAAACTTGCTTACTGTTTTGGGACTAAGATACTCTTCAGAGAAATCAAAGTCCTCATACAACATGAATCCAAACAAAGTGTTTCCTACATTTTGGGGGGGAATACCCTAATTTCTTGGATTTTTTKGGTAGGAAAATAGCAATTCAATTTAAGATTCTAACTGGAAGAACTTTTGTGAGATCAAACTTCTAATGACAAAATTATTTTCACACCGATTAAACACCTATTTGGAAAATACTCTTTTTGTTTGAAATAAACGATTCAGCTCAGTATTTCTTCAAAAGAGTATTGAAAATTACAACGAAGAAGCAGACACACCAACCTATGGATGATGGGCAACTTTTAGAATTGCAGAATTTTGTGTATAATCAAACAAGGCTTGTTAGATGCACTAGGGGTATTTATACTATTCAGAAATGTACTGGTGTGGGCAGGTAAGAAACTTCACCAGCGAGTTCCGTAGGGTTATTGTCAGCTCTGTGCATTAGGAATGCAGCCACATTTGTCACACACCAGCCTGAACAGTTTSGGGCCAGATCCCTATTTCATTAATACGAAAGCCCGGCTTACCCACTGCACCATTTGAAACTAAGATTTTAAACCTCTGAGATAAAAGATGCATCCTYGGTAATAAGTGTATCCCACACCTCAAATCTGATGTTAAAACGACCACTTCTAATAAAGTACTTAAAATAAGAAATGGCCCRAGCTGAAGTCTGACAGAAGTAGAGCTGGAGCAGCCTGCTCGTGTGTAGGCCAAGGAGCCGCGTCCTACTCACTGGGCTCGGCTTTTTGTCCACAACAATCCCAGCCAGCAGCTGAGACTGGGGTCCTGCTGTCTTCAGGTCGTATCTGTTCTGCTCCCGAATCTACAAAGAGAAAACAGAGGGTGTTAGAAGCAGATATTGGTAGAGCTTTTCCCCCTGTGAACAGTTCACTAATTTCCCCCAAACCAACAGCTCATGCTGTCAGTGCTTGCTAGACTGGCAGATCGGAAATGAATACAAAAATAAACRACATAAATTCTACAGCAGAAAAGCCAGTGAGCAGCTATTTAAGTGACACTTAAGTCTAAAAGGCATCGCCTGGGACTTGAGCTTTAATCTCCTCAACAGCTACAGTTTTCGTTTTTCCAGCCCTAAGGAAGGAAGTTGCTCCTCCTGACTCCAGTTCCATCCCATGGATACTGTAACAGCTTCTTCCAAGAGAGAAAAATGCTGCAGCTAAATGGAAGTTGTCATCTGTATCTGTTAATATAGTTTTGCTGAGGGTGGAGGATTTGGTCAGTCTGATAGTTGGCACCATAGGTGCYTTAAGAGAAAAACGGAGAAAAACAGTGCAATTGTTCTGCGTAGAGAGAGCTYTATCAATAATCTCTGTTTTTGCCCTCTCTTCTTAACTGCCATTACAAAGTGGACTGGACAAGAGAAACTCCAGCACAGTAAGTGCAAACTAATGTAGAACAGAGTGAGTCTGAGGTCATATCACACTGTAGAYGATGCAGAGCAATTCGGATCTATACCTAACTATCCGCTATGTACTGCTAAATACTGCAGCCTAGCATTTCTAGTCTATCATTTCAGAGTTAGTGTGAAYATKCACCGTACTATTGTATTCAAAATTTATACATTTGTATCTTTATATAGTGTTTATATGTATTATGTATTTGCATACATGTATTTAGTGCCAAAAGTACTTGTAAGCTTAGAAATGTTTTTGTGAAATGACTTGAAAATGTTATTTTACTGCTGTGTTCAATCGTTACTTGAACAGATAATTATATTCTGCCATGTTACAGTTTACTTCAATTCACTTATTTTACCTTATTTCTCTTTTCCAACACTTCATTTGGGTTTGTATTTAAAGGAACAAATTGGTTGGGATCYTCAATTTTGATCGGTGTCCCTCCGCTAGTCTTGGAAGAGTCATCAGCTTTCATCCACTGTAAGAGAAAACACTGCTGGAGATGGCACCATGGGTGAGGGACACTCACCCGAGTGTTCCCTCATGGTTAGAGAGCAGGTACAAGGAAAGGACTCCCAGATTCTATTCTCAGTTGTGCAAGTTACTCACAAAATAAATAAATTCTTGCCCCTGGGCATTTAAGTTGTCTTGAATGGACATGATGAAGATTACTTTTAATTTGAAAATGCGCACCATCTTAGTGAAATAAAACCTCTTGCAAAATGCAATGCAAAGAGCACAATAATGAAATCATATTTTGAAATGATCACCCTTTCTGGCAGCTGGTCTACAGCTCTGCTGACGCCAGAGTCTGCCCTTTCTTATTCTCATTCATACACTCAAATTCCACCTCTGCTCCTCACAAATTCTGTCGTGAGGGTTTTTCTTGGCAAGCAAGGTTTAAATCCATCTGTCGCACAGGGCATTTTGAGCAAGCTGAGTTTTAGGAAGCCGCTGGCCTGCCAGGAGAGGGAGCTCGTGCCCTGCGAGGTGCTCTGTGCAAGTGCCCTGCCTGGGCTGCAGGGCCGCGCTGCTCCAGCCTACAGCACGGCTGGATCTCTGGGCTGGAAAGGGCCTGGAAGTGCCCGGGTAAACCYTGGTCCTCAGCATCACCAGCAACAACACTGACAGACTCTTCAGAGTCTTAGCAGTTTCACAAACACAGGGCAAGGGACAGTGAGAGGAGATTTAAAGCTTGTATTCTCCTCATGCTGAGATAAGGAGATCCCATAGGGGATATAAAATCCCCTGTACTTGATGAATAATTAATAGCATAAAAATATATGATAGAAAAACTGCTTCCTACTGTGGGATTCAGAGGGGTTAGCAAAAAAACAGGGAGATCACTCTTCAATTTTATCATAAACACTTAACTTTCCAAACATGACCAAAACAAAAGAGGCCTTGGTAGTAAGGCCATTAAGTCTCCCAACATCCTATTTTTATCTGCTTTATTAACCGATTCACTGATGCTGTTGAAGATCTCCTCAAACAAACCCAGTGCAGGCTGCTTTCTCCCAGGCAGAGAGGGAGCACGAGGCAAGAGCCGAACGGATCTACGCACCGTGATCTTAGTCCTGGGACTGGCTTCTCCGTTCCACGACTCCTCAGGCACGTTCACCTTCAAGTAGGTATTGGGAGAGTTCAGCCATCTCGTCTTCTCCCTCTGCTGCCTTTGGGCCAGGAACTTGAGCGGGGAGAGCGGGACGGTGTCGTCCTCAAAGGAGAAGGCCGTGACGGTGGCCGGGATCTCGACGTCGCTCTTGTGCCTGGGCTTCTCTCTGACGAGCGGCTGCCTGTAGGCGTAGCCGGTTCGGTAGCCCTGCCACGTGCAAGAAGATCACAAACATGTTGTGCTGCCCTCTCTGTACTGAGCAGGTTCCCTCGGCTCTTCAAAGAAAGGATTAGTCATGTCCTGCAGCACCCATTCACTTTATCAAACCATCTAAAATACCGAGTCCATTGGACCGAACTGCGTTCGCACTTCACCTTTCTAGTCTTTGTTAATGAGTGACCAAGGAACAATCTTCCTGCTCGAGCTGTCACTTGGGTGTCATTCAAGAAGACTTAACKACCTTGCACGGTGACACACACTAACTTGTGACACCACCCCACTTCTCACTTTGCAGTATCAAAAGGCTCTTCCAGAATTTATAATGTAAAATAGGTATTTCAAAAAAGTAATAATTACCATTTTATTTTCTTTTCTCTGGTACACAACTTAGCATTGATAAAATCTAGTATTACAATTAATAACAAAATATAAATGGAAATTTCAAAGTCTAATGACTATGGTAGCGATTAAAAGTCATTTGGCTATTATAAAGAGAAAGCAGTGAGATGGGTGGGACGAAGTTTAAGTTCAAAACATTATAAATTCTTACGACAGACTACAGTTTTCAAATAAACTGACATAAAAGCTAAGCCAAACAGAACAGATTAAACATACTGTAAACATGGCTTCCCCTTCATTTTCAGATTCAAAGAGAAACCAGAATCACTCTCTTTGCAGCCTATGCCCACGCCATGTTTAGCAGGCTACAACACTTCTTGTGCAACGCCAAARATTTCTCACCAGGTTGTCCAGCATCCTCATGAGAGCCTCAAACTCCTGCTCCCCAACTTTCCACTTGTGCTGCGAGCCCATGTTGACGCCGCCTCCTCCGGCCGCCGCCAGCGCGTGCGTGAGAGGCCGGAATTTCTGCACATCCAGCACCAGGAGGTTGTCCACGCCACCCGCTCCAGCCAGCGCGTGCACCTACGGACAGCAAAGGGGGTGTTTCATTCGTGGGGAAAAAATCGGAATTCTCTGTTTGTCTGACTTCTCCAAAACAAAACAAAGCAAAACAAACAGCCCCAAATACCCATGCTCAGTATGCAAGCTGCAGTTCTTTCCCAGGTTAGTTTTCTCCTATGCAAAAACATACTGAAACATAAAAGAAATGATTCTTATTGAATGAGACTATCTATTAATAATTGCACTTTAAAGGAAGCAGATTCAAACACCAGCTCTTGGAGTACCCTAAAAAGATTTTTTTTTTTTTTTTGCATCACACAGCTGTTAATATCCTTCATTTTAATGTAGATTTTGAAGCAGATGAGTGACAGAATTCCAAGTGAACAGCAGGGAGATGGAAGAGAGGAGGAGAGAGGGACTCCCATTTGCCCTTCCTCTCTAGATGCATCCTTGGGAGGACGGAATTGCTAGGGAACAAGAAGTGATGAGTTCCTGGGCATGAGGTTAGGATTATGGAAGGTAAGGAGACCCAGTGGTATCTCTCTAAACTTACAGACAATACCTATATATCTAAAGAGACAGCAGAAGTTAGACCAAATGAAAACCATTGATCTAGGGACTCAATTTATTTTTTAAATGTAGCCCACACCATTCCTCCCAAGACCTTTTCTTTCTTTGGCTGTGTGATGCTTTGGGATCGCAGGCTAAAACCTCTTTCCCTTGTCTCAACATTCAACTTTGATAAATGAGCTCGACACGAAGGTATCCTGAGTCACAAATTCTCTCTCACCTGTGTTTCACAAGCCAGTTGCACATTGAAAATATAGTGAAATGCTTCTTCCAGTGTCTCTCCCAGTGCTACCACACCATGGTTTCTCAAGACCAATACCTAGTAAATAGAGACACTGATGTTAAATGGTAGAAACTGGCACAGTACATGAAAATTGGTCATGAGAAACATGAAGGAGGCTGAATACCTTGCAACTGGGTCCAAGCACTTTTTGAAGCTGAATTCTCTCCTCCTGCTCATCAAGAGATCCCTGGTAATTGTAATAAGCAATATCTCCCAGAATCAGAGCCTCTTGTGATATGGGAAGGATACCACACTTCATTGATGAAACCTGTTTCAAGAAAATGAAGCAYTGAAATACAAACAAAACTCACCATCTTGAGTGATGAACCCCTATCTTGATCACTCTTTTTCTCCAAAAGCCTTATGGGACTGTAAATTACATCTCTGGTAGGAAAGAAAAAACCTCTCCATAATAGAAACCTTAATGCTCTACGTAGTGTAGTTTCCTACTGTTACTTAACTTAGGGATGGATTTGTGGTGGAAGAGGACAAATTATCCCAAAGAAAATATTTTCTGTGAATTTTGCCCATATTTATTTCTCCTCACATACCTACACAGCACTTTTTCATGCTTTCCTAGTGTTTTTAACTAAAACACTGATATATAAAAAAAGAATATGTATAAAAGAAGTTGCCCTTCCTTTTTCTGTCTCTAGACAGGGAAGGCGCATATATACATTCATATACAATAATTTAACATAGACTTTATCTATTTATCCTGAAGCAACTCTTTAAAGTCTCTTTACAGTTTTTATTATGGTCCAGCTTAGATCTCTACTTAATTGTGCCATAATTATAACCTATCTTTTAACTACCACTCTTTAAACTGGGAGATAAATCAGTCCTGAACTACTAGTACAGCCATTTATAAACATAGTTTCCTCATCCAAATGACAACGTACCTAGTACCTCGTATGGTATGAGATGCTATAAATAAGGATCGTGCGAGCTGGATGCTTTACTGTCTCCGCAACCTGAGCACCATCAGATCATATCTGATCCTCTTTTCCCTGCGGTGACCCAACCCTCCTCCTCTGCTGATTTTGTAACCTCACAGAATCAGCCTTTTCTATCAGTGTAGTCATGAATAATGAATGTGATGCTAAAAACAAAAAACGAAGCTGCTGTGAGCAGTGATTCAGCTGCAGAAAGCTGATCTAAGCTCCCAAGCTAACCTGTTTCCTTCTGCACTTTGTGCTAGAAGCAGGAGGACTTACAGCTGCCGTGGCAGGGGTGTGTATGTGTATTACACATCTCACATCTGGTCGCGTGGAGTAGATGGCCACGTGCGGACTGAATCCTGCGCTGTCRATACTTAGAGTTGTACTTCCCTGGTCAACTACGTCTCCTAGGATGTTCACCTTGACCTGGAAAAAACAAAGGAACAACGTTCAAGACATCTGCTACCGCTGCCGTTTCCTGAACCSTCTCTCCTTCTCCGTGCCTCCTCCCGGGGCCAAAATTTCACCTACATTTTCTGCATTTTTAGGGATCTGTACACACGCAAAAAACAAGCAGAATAGCAGAACAGCCATGAATCTATGGTCAACAGACCACTCTAATGTCCAAGATTCGGCTTACTCTTGGAAGCCCAGCCTAATCCAAAAAGATGAGACCTGATATAACATAAATATCACTCTTTAGTTCAGCTCACTTTTTGTATAAAAGAAAGTCTCCACAATTTATAAAGCATCAAAATCAGCTGCGTGTAAAAACATATGACTTGGTTCAATCATTAAGCATATTTTTATGCCTATAATATCATCCAAATAAAGTGAAAAAGAAGAAAAAACACCATCAAAAATTTCAAATGAATTATATACTCATGGAATCCATTAGCTAATAACTTTATTTTTTTTTCTGTGAGGCATCCTCACTCTCACATTTTAAAATTAATTTTATTTACTTTTCCTACATTTTAAACTTGAAGAAAATTAAGCTTCTCAGAAACTTCCAATAAGCACATTTAATGCCTAAGGAGTTATAAATGTGTGGAAATGTTAAAAAAGTTACTCCTGGCCCAAGCAAAACAACAGCTGCACATCAAGTCTTGTTCCCACGTTTGTATTTTGGGTCTAGGTTTGTTGGTCAATGATATCAATCTCAATCACTGCTCCCTTGCAGCAGCAGAGAGTTTCTTCACAGAAACACACTGACATAGTGCAGCTTCTGCACCAAAAAAGACAAGTCTTAGTAGCCAGAAGTTCCCAAATGCCACTCTATAACGTTATCCCTGCTCCTTCTTGAGCGGGAAAAGATTATTCAGTACTCTTGCCCCACTTATAAAGATAAGAGCTGATGCTAGTAACACTATTCCTACCAAGCAGTTTCGTATGTATTACTATATCACCACATAATAAAAGCTTGCTGTTATGCCAAGTCTATTTGATTAGCTTCAGCAGAGAGGAAAACAAAGCTCTGCTGCTTCACATCAAAGCTAAGCTGGAGACAAAGCACCAGAAAGCAAAGCTAAACCCAGAAATGCTCAGGACAAAGGACCATATGATCCAAATAGTTAATCAGCTTTGCATCTGGTGGGCAAACATTAAAAACAAAGATGATTATAGGTTAGGAGTCCGGGTTAGAGGCTGCAGAAGTCTTTCAGAAAACAGGCTGAGCCTTGGTGGGTATCAGTGTAGGCGAATCACATACCAGATTAGAGGCTGAAGCTTCAGAAAAAGAGAGACCTCTTGGAATGATTAGAATGTGGTCGTGCTCTTTGCTTACTCTTACCTGCAAAGAAAGAAAAATAGATTATTGACATGTCTTTGAGTTTGCATTAATCATATAGGAGGGAAGAACTTAAATAAATTATTACATTAACTGAAGAAACGGGAAAAGTCCCAAATTTAAAAAGAATCTCTAAAATACTTACTGTGATATAGGAGTTTGGCAGATGTGCCCACCCAAACAGGTCAGCCAGCCTATACAAACTGGCGAGCTTGCAGCGAGTGAGTTTCTCTCCCTTAACGAAGGAGGAGGTATCGATTCCTGCGAGGTCGTTGATGGGTGTCACCATTCCATGGCCTGCAAACACACAAGCAAACAGTGGCCAGTCAGACCAGTCGCTGGAAGTTATGGCAGGGTTCTCCAGAAGCTCTGTATTTAGAATTGACACCTTAGCAGTACCAGCAGTTGCCAGATGGGAAATGCACTTCTGGATTTCTAAGGTCTTTATCAAAACCCTCTGTGAATTTAAGATAGTAGGAACCATACCTCAAAGTCCTTAAGTCTCTCATGTTTGTAGGGCTAGTAAAGAAGCAATATAAAGGCTTGCTTTTAAATACCTTTGAACTTCACACTTTGAATTCTTTCCTGCCTCAATGCCATGCTATGTAAGGCTTGAGTGATGCTTTAAGATGTTTGCTACTAACCAAGTATTTTTACGTGGTATTTTGAAAATTGAAGGAGAAAACACCTCTGGTGGACTCCAGACACTGATAAAAATAATGACAAGGAATTAGTCCAAGTCCTTTAACTCAATACTGAGGGAAAAATAAGGACTAGCACAAGAGTTCTCCAATTGTTGGACAACAATAGCTCTTAACTGAGAGAACACACTGAAGATCAATTTATGTGGAAAGTACTCCCAGAAAATGAAAGATTTTCTTTTTAAAGCAAGAGTTTGCACTTCCAGATCAGCCATCCCGGTCGGGCCCCTGGGCCAGYGTTATGCAGCCCCTAGTTGGACCTGTGATCTCTCCAAGGGGCTCCAGCTGCCCCAGTAAGACTCTGGGTTCTCTGCTCCACTTGCTTCATGAATTCTGAAGAGGCAGTTGGGGATTAGTTTTCAAAAGGTGCTGAATACCAGCAGTTGCCTTTTCATAATTTAAATGCAACAGTAGAAAAATAATCAGAATCTAATATGGTRTGTGTTTCACATCTCATCATAATTTCATATCTTGTGAAAATGGTTAATAACAACAGGCTGCATTGAGTTCTCTGTCTCCATAAAAAAAAATTATTAGTAAACTCTAGAGTAACCTACTGTCAAGACTCAAGACATTGTGTACTGCACAGTAACAAATGAAAAAAAAATTGGGAGAGAGGCTGAGAGGGACAGGGCTTCAAGCCTAGATTCTGGGGCGCTTTACAGCTTAAATGACCTCCGACAGAACTTTTGTATTGAAGAAATGCCAGYATGGCTAAAACCTGGTGTTGATGGGGAAAAAAAAAAAGAAGAGAAAAARGGCAATTATCCACATAGTTCACTTACTGAGTGAAGATGAGGAAAAACCTGCAAAAGAGCTGGCTGTAATGTAATCAGCAATCTGCTGTAGCGCAAGCAGTCCAGTTGGGTTATTGCCCTTCTTCATCTGTTCTTGAATAAGGCATTCCAGATCTTCTCTAAAAGCCTGTGGAAACATTTGAGAATCATCAAGGAAACCTGGCTTTGACAGAAATGAGATTATTCTAGGTGGGGCTGGTGGGTTTGCCTGTTATTAATTTTACATGACACTTCCCCTTAGCCCTTGTTTTCATCTGCTTATAGCTTTGCCAAACTTTAACCATCTGGTCTACAACTCTGTATGCAAAGTACTGGCTTTTGGGAGGAGTGGGAGGGAGGGGAGGCTCTGTGGCTCAGCCCCAAGAGGGTTAGTTATTTCCTATGGAAAAAAAACTAAAATATATTGTTTCAAGTGTTAACAAAAACGTTTATATCAACAATTCAAGAATTCGCCATAGTTTGGAAGGTGTACTTGAAATTTGACCAAGATTGGTTGTTTTTAATGCTGGATATATTTTCTTTTTGATTCTGTAATCTCTCTGAAAATCCATCCATGTTTGAGAGAGTCATAAACAAATGGAAAACTCGAGTTCAAGCACGGTCAAGCACAGACACGAAAAAATTAGAAGAAATGTCAGCATGCCACCTCCTCTACTTTGTTCCTTCTGTAAAAGGGAGAAACTCTTCCCTTGTCTCGCCAGCACAAATGCTGACAACCCAGCAGCTAAATTCTTGCAGAAAAAGAGCGTGAAAAAAGGTTTTTATGCCATTAAATCCAACACGCTCCATACCACAGACAAAGTCGGTTTCTTTTAGGCCATAGGCAGATTAAGGACTGCTCGTAACACACAGTTGTTYAAGGATTCCTACAGACTCCTTCAGTCTTGATATTCCTGGACTAAATAAAAAATTCATGTCTTTCAAACTTTCTGTACAGGCTGCATTTACTAAATCTTGTTATTCTCTGGCAATACCCTACTGCTTTTACCTTTTATGCACTTGTTCTTTCCAGTTTACCTCCCTCGGTGGAGTACTTGGACTCGAGAAAAGCATTCACTAAAGCAAATGCTGCTTCTTCCATCTACTCACTGCATTTTAATTCTGTCCTCTAAAACACCCACTTTGCTGGGTAAAACTCAACCAGTTTTATAACACATTCYCTCATATAATCAAAACTAGGTTGAACAGCCTGCAGGACCCCCATAGACATGTGCAAGACCCTATGTGACCCTACTTGTTGGACAGCTGAGCACCAGGAACTAGCCTTGAAATGTGGTTTTCAGACCCTCGTGCTCTTCCCTCCAGCATCTTYGCTAAGATCACGTTACACGGGGCTTCTGCAGAGCAGACCACGCGAACAACATTCCCACAAAACTGCTGAATAGCCCCGCACAAGTCTAAGATACATGGGAAAAGTCTGATTTTTCCCTCTGGAGCGGCTCTGCAGGGCTAAGATGGGACAAGATGGAAAACCGGAGCCTCCTGGCGCTCCCCAATGATGTCTCTGCTCCCTCTGTTCTGGTGGGCAAAGGGTAATTCACACCTGGGTGCGAGGGGCAGGGAGCAGATGGGGAAAAGCAAATAAGAGAAGTGGAGAGAGGGAGAAAAGGGACAAAACTGGGAGGAGAGAAGTGAAGCTACGGGAGGCGGATCAGGGGTTGTAAGGAAACTGATAAGGGCMACGGGAGGTAATCGCTGGCAAAGCAAACAAGTTGTGGAAACAGAGGGCAGGAAAAAAAATGTTTGTGAGGCAGCAAATGTTTGGGAAAAGAAAAGGGACCAAGAACCTGGCAGGCAAAGGAGGAGAAAATGTGAAGCGGGGCAGGAATTAAACGAGGCTCAGCAAAGAGCCGGGATACGACTGGTGGTGCTTTGCTTCTCTTGCAGCCATGCAACGTGAAAGGGCACCTGTGTCACCTGTGTCACCTTGGCCTCACGCCTCGGTCAGCACACATTTGTGCTAATTCTCTCTGAAACAGTGGAAATTTAGTGCTTCATCATCTTCTCACTGTTTAGTACGCGGCCCTGTGTTTTTTCTGAACGCTCTGCTATTCATACCCCGCTGAGATGACAATTATTATTTATCTGACAAGCTTTTCTCTGGGGCAGATAATTACTATCAATCCAAATGCTTCATAAGCATTAGCTCACTAATCCTCACGACGTGCCTCCAAGGTGATGCGCGGCACTGTCACCATCTTCACAGAATGCATGGAAGGGAGATTGAGGTCAAAAGACTGCAAAGGGTATTCACTCGGAGATGCCCAGGGCCCCATTTCCAGAGTACTTTAGCACTAAGCAGCTTTTTATGCACCCAAAGCACAATTCTCAGAGGAACTTCAAAAGCTGCTTGGAGTGTTTAACCCGCTGCAAATTACATCTCAGGCCAACAAGTTGGATATACAGAAAATCAGAATTAAAACCCCACAAAATTATCAATTATTTCTCCGTTATTATTAAAAGACATCCCTACAAAAGAACTCTGTCATTTCACACTGTGGGAAAGCAGAATGGGGAGAGTTTATACTGCCATTTGGATAGCAAGAAGCCACACATTTGTAGTGTCATGGAGGCGGTGTGGAAGATGGAATTTGTAATGTGCTTTTTTTGGAGAAGAGGGAGAAAAAACAGTTATTTCTGTTATGTTAAGGTCACCTTTACTTCAGGTCAATGAGGACTACAAAAAGGATCTGCTGAAGTATTCCCAGTAAACTCTTCTTAGTCTTACACAGCCAGATTTTTAAAACTTTTGCAAGGACCTTTACAATAACTTTCACATCTTTTTCCTCTCAAGCATCAATAGCAAAAAAAAAAGAAGACAGTAAAATGCATTCTGGACGATTTTTCATGGAGAATTTTGTGTTTTAAATTGCATTTTAAATTCTTTTGCTTTCCGATTGAGATGTTTTCATTCTTCTGAGCTCAGTTTTCTCTCTGTGAACAACAGTGTATTTTACACTCGCTGAGGCTACGGTTCTTTTTAGTGCCGCATCAACCATTTTGTTAAAYTCCACAACCTTCCCTTAAAAATTGCTCCCGAATATCAGCAGACAGGTGGGAGCAGCAGCTAGGCAGCCTTGGACAAACCAYGACACAGAGCTGAGAACAGGCGAGAAGCTTCTGCAGCCGAGGACTCGAGCTCAGCCCGTGCGGGCTCAGCAGTGACGCTGCCAGCAGATGCCACCCCGGGGYGTCACGCGGGTGACTCCCCAGTTATGGACTCGAGCACCTCCGCGTTCACCCCTCCAGCCTCCTATCTGTCTGTCCCTCCCCTCCGCGGCGTCTGGATCCTCTCCTCTCCAGGCTGCTCTGCTGTCCATCCGCAGATAACCGCTTGACGCGGGCGAGAGGCGCCTTGCGCCGCAGCCGATAAGGCTCGGAGCGGCACCACGTTCCTCTGGAGGAGAACATCCCTTAGGTGTCAGCCAGCACGTGAACCATGTTTATTGGGGCTCATAGCTTTCTTCTCGCTGCTCTGTAAAGTCACTGTTGAGTTGGGCTCCAAATTGGAGCTCTGACCCATTCAGCAACAAGAAGGTGCTGCTGAAAAGGTCCAAGCGYGGCCTGGAGCCCAAGGGCTTTGGTGCTGCTGCAATCCCGGGGGCTCCACTGGAAGCCACGGGAGGTTCCCCCGCCACTGCCCACAAGTGCCCCAGCAAAAGTCATGCTCAGGGAGCTCATCTCCAAAGGGRGCACGAACGCTCTGCTCCAGCACAGGGCAGGCATTTCTCAAGGGGAGATGTCCCTGGTGAGTCAAACTCCAGCCCTCAACAACACAATGCTGACTAAGGAAACAAAGCTGTCGTCAGATCAATGAAATACGTTACTCAGCTGCGTGCTCAATATTGCTCAATAAAGTTTCGGCTCTGGGATTTAAGTCATTTCTAAAGATAAATGTGTGTGTGTTACTTCCCCATACGTGCAACTTCCAGATACATAAAGTTAAGCACAGTAATAAGCAGTTTAGGTGCAGAACTTTTTTAACTTGTAGGCCTCAATTCTTAGTCATTTACTTATATTTTTGGAACGAAAATATATCAAATGTAAAACAACAGTGCAAAATGAGGGCTTTTAGAAATCCAAGCAAATGTTTGCAGTTATTAGTTGACAACAAGTATGTTTTTAATCAACAGAAGCAGACAAACTAAAGTATCTAGCTAAGATAGCCTATATATTATTGTTCTCTGCTATAGATATTTTATTAGAAAATTTAAGTATTAATCTGTTCACCTTGGCCAATAGTTCTCTGGGGACAYCATGATATGTGCAAGCTTATAAATATATAATTACCTTTCTATGGCATTTCATGGCTTTTGATCATTGATTTCTACATGTAGGACTCACTCATCTACTTAACAGAACTAGAAACAAAATGAAAAGACCCTCCCATCAATAGAGAAACAGAATAGCATAGACGTCATCTGCAAATACACCAAAGCCCAGCAAACACCTATGTCCACATCAGGACTAATTGTATTATGGTCCAAACCATAATACAATAGACACGCCAGTCTATGGAAAAATAATATAGAAAAATATGGAAAAATAAAAATGTGTTTTCTAACACACAYAAGGTTCCTAAACTTACTAATGACATAGCCTGAAAACTAATAATGCATAATACAATATCATGCAAAAAAGGAAAAAATACAATAAAGCGCCTGTTCATTTTTGATCAGTTTATATGTTAATAAATAATTTTAAAAGGGCATAACCCAGCCTATCTATATGCATGTGTGCCTGCACACACTCCCACATACACAACCTCTCTGCCAAGCCACTGCCATTAAGGAAAGGTCTCAAAACGTACCTGTTATTTCGTCGTCGGGGGCGAGGGGCTGCGCAGGGCAGCGGGTGCTGCGGGCGCCGCAGGGAGCTCGGCCGGGGCGGCCTGCGCGTCGCTCCGCGGCCTTTCCCGGCACGCGGGTCACGCACAAACAGCCCCAAATGCAAAAGGGTGGAGCTGGCCACAAAAAACCGCCAGCGAGTTCGGGCTTGCAAGGAAAAGATAAGAAACTCTAAGAAAAGAAATGGCTTCTAGGTGAGGGCGGAAAGAAACAGACTCACTAACAAATACTGGGAAGTGGGTGAAGTTGCCGCAGTGTCTGCTGAGGAGGCTGCAGCGAA